GCACTACACTGTCACCTTAACAGACGAGAGAATACACATCCCGAGGGGGCATTCATCATAGCGGGTGATTTCAACGGTGCGAACTTGAAGAAAACAATACCTAATCTACATTAACACATCGACTGCCCGACACGCGGAACAAACACGTTGGACAATGTTTACACTCCCTTCCGGGATGGTTACAAAGCTCTCCCCCGACCTCCTTTCAGCAAATCCGATCACGCCTCCATTCTGCTACTTCCCGTTTACAAGCAGAAGCTTAAACAGGAGAGGCCAGCTTTAAGAAACATTGAACGTTGGTCGGATGAATCGAATTTTATATTAAATCACTGTTTTGCTACCACTGACTGGCAGATCTTCCGCGAAGCTGCCAGAAATAATATCAATCTGTATACGGACTATGTTACTGGGTACATCAGCATTGTTTAATACTGCTGCACGCAGTATTGTTGTGCATTTGAAAAAGAAGAGGCCACTTTGGTCCATGTATCTTATTTTCTTGTGAGTAGCTACAGTATGTTGCTCTAATACTTCAGCTTTTCTTGCCATAATGAATGCTCAATTTAACATAGAACTTTCTGTTTAATGTGATCGATTTCTTGGTAAACACATGAGTAAAATATTAATTTAATACATCTGTCATTTCCCTTTAATTGTCTGAAAGTTTCCCATTATTATCTCTAAGATCCATTGCTTCATCCTTTACTGTTCATAATGTAATTGTATATAATTAATCTATTGTGATAGCGAATTTTTTTAATTGATTTTAGTCCTCATTGCAATATTATTCACTCTGTCTTTCAGACATTATAATATTTTTTTTTACCTTTGCTTGAAAATCATTATTACCCTTTTCTTGAACTGGATATTTTGATTTATGATTGTTTTAATTGAAGGCTTGCTTTCTCCTTATCTTTTGAAGTGATTTATTAAACTACGTGGAACACTGCTTCCTTAACTTTGATTTCACCAGTAGATTGTCACTTACCCACAAGTGGCTTTTGTGAATTGTAGAAAATAAAAGACAAATAAGTACCCCACACTGTTTAAAGAGTATACAAGCAACCTGTTTAATTAATCCCTTTCAGATAGTTCCTGAACCATCAACCACAATATGAGGCTAATGGCAATTCATAGTCCTGCTTCTTGACAGATAGGCAATCTTTTGCTCAACAGATATGTTATTTAATAAAAGAACCTCAGTAAAGACACCCAATGAAAGCAAGAGACAGTCAAAGCATTATTGAGATCAAAATTTTTCATTTCATTGTGATATTAACATCAGCACAGTGACCAAGAATGATAGGCAATGGTGGAGAACAATTTCAACACCTTAAAGAAAGAAATATTGAACTTCTCCAAAAGAGATTTAATGTGCTATAATCTAAACACTTAAGGTCCCGACAAAATAGCATTACAATAAAGCAAATCACACCTGAAGAAGGCTCCACGGCCGAAATGTTGTTTTCTTTCTTCTTTGTTTTCAGCATAGAATAAACCTATTACTTGTTCCATTACAGAACATGGTAATCTAGTAAATAAAGTTACACAATAAAACAGGCTCCATGTCAGGTTAATTCCTGCTTTATAAGGGTGTTTCTTACAAATGCATGCACTAACTGAATACTATTATAAATCAGTTGAATTAAGGTATCCCTATCATTCACACAGCAGTCACACTGATTTGAATGTTTGTGAACATTTGATGTTTTTTTGACCCCTACAGTAGTTCATCCGACATATACAATGCTATTGCACAATGTTTGAAAATACAACTCATCGATTGAATCAAAAGACAGAAAAAAATGAATACATAGCCTCCAGTTTTTTTTTTAAAGGCTAATTTATATTATTGTTGGCACAGAGGAGAACATCTTGTGATTAAATAATGGTGTTTTTAATTAAATCAGCTTTGGTTATTTCTTCATCTGTTCCATGCACTGTTTTTTTTTTGGTACAGATTCAACAACAGCGGTCATCAGTGCACTGTATGAAAGATCCATTCTGAGTGTCCTGAATTACCTTATAATTACCTAATTTAAGGACATACTAATTATTACTAATTAAAGTAATTTAACTGACATATGAGATGTCTAAGAGAAGTCCAATTGAACCCAAGCTCCAAACAAATCTCACACATGCCCATCACATTTAAATAATTATTTTACAACACTTGGGAAACTAAAAGAATCAAAGATAAGGGAAGCTTATCCCTTATCTTTTCTAACCTGGCAAGACATTACAATTAATTGCAATACTCTTTTGCAGTTAAAGTACAGAAATGGAAATAAACTAGAATTTACAAATTGCCAAAGGAAAATAGTTCTATCAAATAACGAGTTTTCCAAATAAATGTATCTCTCTATTTATGCATGTATGTTTAAATAAAGTATTACAATTCTGAATATTGATTAAATGTTTTTGGTGTCATTTTATTTCATTGATCATTCCTGACTGTCCGTGAAACATTCAAGTGACTATGACCATTCAATTTATTAGCGAGAGAGTTCAGTGGTGATTTAACCAGTTAAATATCAAGGTTAGTGAAAATCAAGAACAAAAAAGTCAGGAAGAAACCTGTGTCCTCTCTATCAAGAGATCAACACCTTTTTCCATTGATACAGTATGAGGCTTGACTAGGTCAGCACATTTTTGTTCACATCAAGCAATTTCTAACCTGGCAAGACATTACAATTAAAACACAGTATGTCAATAATAGTCACAATCTGCAAGAAAGGAGGTCACATGTTATCCATGTTCCATGCTGCTTTTTCATGATTATAACAACCCATGTATCAGATGCAAGGACGCCAGATGACAACAAAAACTGTTGTAATACAACAGGCAAATTAACAAGACATGTTTATGTTCTGGGAAGGAGTGTCTCGTTGTTACAGATTTCTACTTCGTTGCCTGTGTGGAACTACAATGATCACATCTTGCAACTTGACTTGCTACCCTTCCTGTGGACTCATACTGAACTGACAGCATTGTGCATTTTACTCTTTATGTTTTACTTTTCAGCATGGAATTAATACTAATAATGTTCCATAATTCTATAATGTCAACTCATGTCTGTGAGAGCTGTCAGGGGGTCATTAAGTCTGACTGAGGAGGAAGTGGAACCACACTGGGCTCTGCTATAAAGAAATAATAGTGCATTTTAAGTGCAATAATTAGAAAAGTATATAATCTTGCTTTGCATGTAGGTCTGGCCTTTTGTGGGACAAAATCAAATATTTAATTATGTGAACTTAAATTCATATCTGTGGTGCCTTGACTACTAGAACACTACTTAAGAACCCAAGCAGACATTAGAAAATTATTCTTTACATATATCAGGTTTCCGACTTTCTGGTTCATGATGCAACTGAACAACAATGAGAATTGTAAGAATTGTAAGCATACCTTGGTCAAAGGGCTTGCTGGGGCTCCAGTTTTTGAAGTAGTCATCCTGCAATTTGAAAAATAGGGATGATTATACTGAGAATGTCTTAGATGAACGGGAATGTCTTTGCCAGTCCCCCCCCAAGGAATAGAGCAACATCAGGCAGAAATATTTAATCAACTTTGGTATATTTTAATAAGCCTTCTAAGCTAATTGTTAAAAACATATCTAAAAACCAATTATAAACAAAATGCCTGAGCATGTACGTAATGCATACAGGGAGAGAATGAGTCAATCACGCATGAAGCAAAAAAGAAATGAAAGACTCGTTCATCTGAGAGATTCAACAACACATACAGTACAGTGAATAAATCAAGAGCTTATGTGGGTTTTAGCACCACATTCTACTTCTTCAAACCTTGTAGCAAAGCTAATTTTCTCCTGACTTTTAAAATGTAAAAAAAAAATTAAAAGACCTTCAGATCTTCTTTTAAGAATTTATAACTGCAATAATATTTGCTGAAGCATAGACATACTGGGACATGAGCAGACTTAAGCTTTTAAGAAGCCTTCAAGCTAAGAACTGATGGCTAAAAACTGAATTTCAGATGTACACAAAAGTATATATTTCTTAGGTTATTTGTAGTTTTACTTTATTAAGTCAAATTATAAAAAACACATTTTATCAGCCCCCCCCCAAAAAAGTGGTGAGATAGCAAGTTATTGAAAACTACAAATCCGTTAATTAAAACCTGTTATATTGTATCTTTACAGAGCTGGCATTTTGATTGGGAACTAATTTCACACTGTATATTGACTGCCTCGTTCTATATATATTATAACTATACTATAGACTATATACTATATACTATATACTAATTTAACTATATCTATATATACTCTAACTTTATGGGAAATGCTTTGATCAAATATATTCATACGGCAGACTTTGAATAACGTTACTCAGTCAAATAAACTGTTACAGAGTGACTTCCAAGAAGAATCATAAAAAAAAACTTTTTTTCATCACTACCCACCAGGCAGGTTTCAGTTTGATCAGTTGACTAAATGCACTTTTAGGGGTATTCCAGAATTAAGAAAAAAAGTTCACAAGGTCACTGGGAAGCCAGAGCCTAACCCAGCAAGCAATGTGTGTATTGCAGGATATACCCAGGAACTAATGCCAGTCCATCACAGGGCATACACAGGCACAGACACTCACACTATGGTCAGTTTTTTCCAGTTGCCACTTCAACAATCAGTATGTCTTTGGACTGTGGGAGAAAACCAGATCACCCAGAGAAAACCCATGTAAATACAGGAAGTGTCACACCTTCTACTGCTAGAGGGTACTCCTACTATGTATAGTTTCCAAGTTTTTGTTTTCCCGCATCGCTTTGGGCCTTTTTTTTCAGTTCTATTCTAATCGCGGGACATCCATGCCTGAGAGCAAGTCATTCAGCGGTATACCTTCCCGACATCCACGTATGAAAACCTGGGTTTCCACGGGAAGTCACTTCTGGCATCCGTGACAGAATCTTGAATTTATTTTTCTATTTTTGTTTGTTACCGGGTTTTTTGTTGTTACTTTTTTTTTTACTCTTGGTGTTTGGTTTCCTCACTTCCTGGTTTCCGTGTTCCCTGGTCTCTCTGACCCTTGTTTCCCTGGACTCTTGGTTCCTATCTGTTGTGAGTCTTTCTAGTGTGGTTTGTTGCCCTTTGTATAAACTTTGTGGTTTATTTTTGTTGTGCATGCTTTTTTACATGTTTTGTCTGGTTTTTTTTTGTTTCTCCAGGAGCCCCGCCTGCCCCCCCTCTACTCAATAAAGGTTTTTACCCTGGAGGAAGAGATAGCTCTCAGCCATGGACTCCCAGAGGTTTCCTTTCAGTTAAATGAGGTTTTTCCTCCCCGCAGTCCTGTGCAGCTCATTTGTTTTTTGGGCATCAGGTGCCGTCCGTGAAGGGGGGGGGGTTACTGTCATGCTCCTACTCAGTCCTGTTCCTAGTTTCCCTGTGCTGCTTGTCCTTCCGGTGTGTCTTTGTGTGGGACTATATATTTCCTGGTCACCCTTTCCTCCTCGCTCAGCATTAAGAGTTTGAATGTCTTGAGACCCGCCTAGAACCAGGTCATCTCCTCTGCGGCCTGAGGGCATAGGTTTCTACCTGAGATCGTCTTACCTCCTGAGCCCGGGCTTACCCCTGTTTTGCAGCTATGCATAGGGTCCATTTTGCTCTCCTGGCCATTCCACGGCATGCCTTTTCTGATATCCGTGACAGGAAGACCATACAAATTCCATGCAGATAGAACCCCAGAACCCAGAGCCCCAGTACTGTGAGGTGGCAGTGCTAATCATTGCACCATAGTGCCGCCCACTTTTCGAAATCATTGGGCATAAATCTAATTACAGGAAGACCAGATTCTAAATGAATTGAAATTAAGTAGGTTTTAACAAAGTTTCCCCATTGATCACAAAAAGCACTGAGTTGGAAAAAATATCATAAATTCTATCTGAATCTTCTGGATAGGCTGACTTTTATATGGTAATTATCTGAATGTTACTGGTGTAAATATCACAGAGCATTAAGCAATTTCCTCTAGGTTTTCTATTTCTATTTGGATTTGGATTTGATTGTATACACTTCATTTTTATAATACATAGTGAAATGCAGCTATAAATAAGGATACATACAAATGTTTACATTTTAAAAGTCATTGGATATTTTGCCTGGTACAAGATGTTTAAGCTTACGTATAAATTGCTGAATAATTTAATATTATTATTTGTGAATTCACAAACATTAAATGTTTTAATTAGAATTATTAGTATAGTACATTAGAGTTTACTCTTTACAACTTGTACTACAATGAGCTAGCTACTTAAACATGCAAACAGCTGCATACAATTTAAGGCCCTAATAACACTGGAGGCTATGGAAAAGAAGTGTAACTTTAGAACTCAAAACAAATTACTATATATACAGTATGCATTTGTGATCTCCAAAGATCCACATACTATACATTTTTATCTGTTCCTTTTATCAATTGTGCCACATTGGATGGCTCTACACCATTCAGCAGGAACGACTGATTAATAAGATTGTTAATCTGTCCTTTACTAATTTATTACTAGAAAGTTCTTTAGGATGTCTGTTCAAAGGTATCAGATTCTGATGTTGCTGGCTGCTGGATAGCAAAATTAATACCATCTGCCATTTGTTGTGCTTTTCGTAGCTATAAAAAAAAAACTAAGCACCTTACTGTATATATGTTGAAGTAAAATTAAAATGAAACAAGAACATTTGTGGAATCCTTTGCTGGTAGCTGTAATAACTTTGCTATTGCTAATCTGAATAAAGAAAGCACTGTTAAAAGAAATTAGAAAAAATCCTACCTATTTTTTAGTTGAATATGTTCACTTACTCCAAAATATCTCCTTTACAAAAGTGACTTTGTTCTGAGAAACCAAACAATAAAAGCAGATTGACATTTCAATGAAAATCTTGGCAAAATTATTAGCGTATAATCGTGTGTGACAATCAATTTGTGGCTTTGGTCAGCCACTCCATCTTAATTTAAATACTTCTAATACTGTACATCCAGACACTGTATATCTTTTCTACAAACACAGCAGTCATCCAGACAACACACCAGTCTCTTACAGGACAACAGAGAACGGGACAATCTCTTCTGACCAGCATGTCTTTAGGATTTGGGAAGAAACCAAATGGTGATTTTAACAACCTTGGATAAAAAAATATTTGTTGGCTACAAATATTAATAAAAGAGAACAAGAAAGTTTACAAAATTCAGAGGAAGTCACCTTGCTTGTTACATGTTTGGGGCACATGTTACAGACAAACCACAAATCCATGAATTCGTAAAAGATGACTGAGAGCAACTCACAGCAAAAGTGTGTGTTATCGCTTTTCCTTGCAATTTCTTTCATGGTTATGCTGTAGGAAATTAACACAATGCATGTCACAAAGGGAACTGGTTTGAAATAATACCCATTTAAGAGCTCTTCAAGTTACTTAGAACATTTTTTTGTTAGTTGTAGTTTTAATGATGTTGCACACTTACAGATTTATGGACTTCTTTTGAAGTGCTAATTTGAAGTACTGTATTTCTTACCTCTTGCCGGTGCAATTTTCTTACAGTCTGGAATGTTTAGTTCTGTTTGCCTTATATTCTTTTATGCACTTCGCTCTTTAGCTTTTAGAATGCCATTCTCCAACACACTTTAATATTCTTTAAAGTTGTGAAATTTATTCAAAGCTTTATTTTCTCACATTTGTATCGGCTTGCTGAGACAGGTACAGTACATGTCTGACAAAAAACAAAAATGGTGGTGGTGAGGTGAGGAATTTGAAGGATATAGGAGTGGAAGAGTCAGTTTCTAGTATGTTCATTCTGATTCCTTCTCGTGCAAAATTAGGCTCAATTTTTTATTTATGCCACACTCTGGTGAATGTTTTACTTCTATATTTTATGTAGCAGTTATGAGTTCAATTAATTGACAAAGTGAGGAATTAATTGAAAATAAAACACCTCGCCAATCTCAGGTAATTAATTGTCCGCAACACAATATGATTCTGATTAGGCCACTATCGTTGGCTTAATGAAAAGCTTTTTCTTCTTTTGCTGACTCTGACGTGAAACATCTCACAGGTCTACTTTGTATTTTAAGTATCCTGTCATCTGGTAACTATAAAGGCAGGAGTATAACTTTGTCTCTGATGAAAGGCATCAAGAAGGTTCACAGCACTTCATTTTGACCTCCTGTAATAATACACTCTTGTGTCATTATGAGACATTCTGTTCTGCAGCTGTCTCTGAAGGCAGGCTGTGGGACACTGGAGTTGCTTTGTTATGCCCTGTTTCATAAAAGAATATTTTTTAGTTTTTTTTTTCAGTTTGTTCTAATATCAACCATGTTTCAAACAATTTCAGCCCTCATCTTTCTTCTGTCATCATTAGTGCTTCTATCATTTCAATCACATCTATAAAGCTAGTTCATTCTCTTTCTTTCTGTGATAGCAAGGCATTTTATGTTACAAGCTGCTTTATAGGCTGGGGAAGGATATATAATGCATATAAATTACTGTTTATAACAATTAAGAACATGTTTATAGAAAGTAGTTCAAGAAGGCAGCTGTGTCAGCATCCGTAGGCTGCAAAGGAACAGGTAGTGGGTTTATTCCATCCTGAAAAGAAAAGAAAAGAAGCACAACGTTTCGGGTAAAACATTGTGTTTCCTTTCTTTTCTTTTCGGCATGGAATAAACCCAATACCTGTTCCTTTGTATGTTTATGGAACGTTATAATAGATTCCTAAAGTGTTACACAAAAGGAGAGGGTTCTTTCATAAAACCTTGACAAAATCTCAATCTAAAATAAGTATATTTGGCTTCAGTAAAGAAAAAAGTGAAACCTAAGTACTTGTTCAATGGATCTCATTATTTTAACCATTTGTTCCTTATTCCATTTGAGATATCCATATGGTATTCAATACATTTCCCCATTATTCATGCCATGTCTGGAATATATGAATACTAAACATCACAGATTAGAATATTTACCTACATGCTGAAGACCTCCCAGATCTCTATTTGCTTCCCAAATCCTCAAAAACTGAAACACAGCCATAATAATAAAAAGGAATACTAAGAATGAATTCATGTACACAATGCTTTTCATTTCCACGGCATAGACACATTCTATGCTTATAAAGCAAATTAAGGCAATCCATTAAATGTCTAGAACACATTCTCTAATAAAAATAGATTATGAAACAGATAGGCACTGTCTTCACATGAAGCCTGGTATGTACAGTACGTGCTCTTTTGAGTTCTCTCCAGGGGTATGCCCTGAGATCTCAATAAAGTACTGTTGTAATGAATAAATTGCCTGGGTCTGTTCGGCTCTCCCAAGACCTCGATCCAATTTAAAATGTGCATTTCCTTAAGCGGGAAGATATTAACACATGAGCCTGTTAATCAGTTGGGTCTGTAGAAGCTACTGCAGTGTACAAACGATGATTTGGGATAAGTGAAGGAGAAGTAGAAGACAACGCTTCTGAAGGCATATACTCTAATTCAATCCCTGACACCTTTGTGCAGCTATTTATATTGTCATGGAGAAAAACATATTAGTACAACCCCAGCACATAATGTTAAGCATCCACATTTTATTAAAGGATTTAACTTGAAAGAACTGTAACCTTCAATGCTCAGTTAATAAGATACTGTGGCTCAATATATGTTCTAAGTAGTGTCTAAAGGCTGCAGTGCTTGCCTGTAAAGACAATAACAGTATTCATCATACTATAATTTGAGTAAGATTTAACAAAACAAAATGCACTTGAAACCTCAGCCACTTCAGATGAAATGCTCTGTCTGACTACAGACTTTATCATCCACAATAGCCAGTTACAGCGTTTTAACAATACACTAAAGTGCCATTCAAAAATCTATCAATGACTTTCCTGTAACACTGCAAACCAAGGGGGCTTCTATAACTTAGAGAATGATGGGACAGGATAGCCCTTGTTAGGTGGCAAATTGACAGCTTCTAGAAATATTTTATTCTCCCTTTAAAGGTTCTGAGCCCTATGCGTTGTGAAAAAAAAAACCTTGTTAATTGCTTAAAGGAAATATTGACAGTGTAGTATACCACAACCACACCAGAGTAGCTGGGCATTTGACACTAAATTTGTTTCATTGTCTTTCAAATCTAAAAATATGAAACATTTCAATTTAACCAGGTACATGTGATTAGTGGCACGATCATAATCCCTCCTCTTAAGGGCGCTCCGGCCCTTTCGTATTTTAGTTGATTTCATGCATCTGCCCCCTGTTTTGTCCGTCTTTATTTTAGGTGGGTGCTCCCACTATCCCGAGCTCTGCATTGGAAAACGGGATGCCCAGAGGGCTGCCTAGCATCAAGTCGCCCTACGTCCGTGGCTTGAGGGCTTAGGTTTCCGATTGGCGTCCAGACCTGGTGAGTCCGGGGCTTGGAGAGCCTGGCCTCATTCCTGTTTTTATCCTCCTGGTTCCCTGTTCCTGTTCTGGATTTTAACCATGTTTTGTCTGTCTCAGATTGGATCTCCCGGCTACCTGGCCTTTGGATCACGCCCTGTTTGCCCCCTTTGGATTCCCACTGGGCTTGTTCGCTTGTGCTTCCGGTCAGTATGCAAGCATGCAGTTATCATAAAGGTAACCTCTATAGCAGTTGCAGTCCTTGTGAAATTGTATATATAAACACCAGGAATAAATTAATACACTCAAAAAGATACAAGACCATCTAGTCAATTTCTTAAAATAAAATCCAGCTAATGCAAAAGATTTCATTCTTTACGGACTGAGTCATTGTTACATAAGTACTGTACTTTCCATCTGTTATGAGGGACAGGGATTCAGTCAGACTTTGAAGATATTAGGTAAGATGCATGAAATGTTCTGCTGAATGTATGGCATAAAGAAACTAGAAAAGTTTGTTTAGCGTACCATTGCAGGACGAATCCTGAAGAAGTACTGTGTAGCTTTGTCGACTTTCTTAAACATGTAAATGAGTTGGACATCAGCAGAAATGTGGTGAGGAAAGTTTTTCCAAAACTTCAGAAACGTAAAAGTTAATACTGAGGTTTCCTGCCTTGGGCGTTTTATTGTTGACTTCTCCACTAAGTGCCTATAGAATTAAATCAAGTGAGCACTTATGCAGGAAACACAAAAGGCTATACTGGCACAGAACAATTTGCATATGAAGGGGGCTTCAAATGGAAGTCTTAAACTTAAGGACAGTTCTTAGGTAGAGTTCTTTCCAAATGAAATAGTTTAAGTAACTTATTTCAAATTATAGCAAAAATAAATGCCAAAGAATAATGTTCAATATGTTTTCAATTTACAAAATGTAGGGATCATAACTATCAGGCAGGATATTTTTTTGTTCCAAAAAATAAGTACAACAGTGCAAATAAGTTTCTTTTCAACAAAAAACCCACCTCAAGTCAACTCTAGATGATAAAAATTGAGAATATGTTAATTAAACTGTCAAGCTTTTAATAATGTGCTTTTAAACCTTAGATTTGCTACTACCTTCACAGTAGTGAAAATAAAGTGAAGGTGTGTCTAGGATACATATTTTTTCCAATGCTAGACTAAGATAGTTTAAGCTACTGCAAAGATAACAGAAGATGTAGATGTTTGCATCTCTTAAGAAGACTGGTACTAATATTTTTAAACACATTTTATTCTAGTAAAACTTGAGGTCTGAACTCATTCTGAAAGCTACTACTGTATGGTTTGAAAACAGTGTAGTACTTATTGTCAAAAAAATCAAAAAACATTATAAATAATTTTCACAAAACTATAAAACTTACCTCTACTTCCTTTATTTGAAAGCAAGGGGAGAAAAGGGAAAAATGGTTACATATCTCTATTAACATTCAAAGGGATATGGATTACAATCTACTTTAACTCAGACTTTACCAGAATTCAATTTTGATATTAATATAAAGTCAGGAAGAAATTTTAAATAGGTAACATCCACTGAGAGTAACATTCAAAGACCTTACAAATCCAGATATTCACTCCAAAAACACTATAAAACGGACATCCTTTAATACTAAGCTGTAGCATGTTTTTGTTTCAATATCGTTTACTTAAATACTTACTAAGCATTCCTAAACACCTGTAAAACAGAGTGTATGTTTATAGATACAATATGTTATAGTTACAGTATAAATGTAGTCTTTTCTGGTCCAATAATATTACCAACTGGACATTAATATCTCCATTGTTAGTTCTGTATCCTTAGTATGCATAGTATTTGTTCTACATGAACATACAGAATGGGGGTGTAAAAAAATCTTTTAGCAAATGGAAAACTAGACGTAATTATATGCCCATTAAAATCTAAGACATCTTCAGCTCCACATGAGGTTATAAATCTAATTTAAACATGATTAAATTATGAGGGTATGTAACATAATCTGTTAACAAACTTAACAGAAATATCCAAATTGTACCCTGCTTTGATGGCAGTAGCCTTATGTACTTGCACAGGGCTGTTAAATGTCACTTGATTAGTGATTTAAATCCATCTTATTTAAAAGGAGAGAAAACATGAAAAGAGACATAATGCACATTAACATAGTGTTTACTGGCCAACATTCAGATCTTTCATTTATTGGGTCATTAGTGGAATTAAAATAGGTAGCAGGTGCTTAGTTGTTGATAATCTTAAAAAATCTCTATGTAAGACTCCTGCATCATAAAAGTCTGATGATTGATCACCAGCAACACTTTGTATGCTGAACGTCACTTTGAAAGATGGTCATACATCTACCGTATATGAACTGTTTATCTGCTTGCAGCAATACAGGAATACTTTTTTGTAATGCTTTTCCCTGATTTATAATATCCCCTTTACACAGGCTTCAATATCACTTATGGGTAATAACGCAAAATATATTTTATTCATTGTTTCATTTATGCCAGCATTTCTTGCAACACTAATGGCATGCAGCTCATAATGCCATCAATCAAGAGCTTTTAAATTCCCAGGTGAAAATGTGCAAAAACTGACCTGCAAAGTGCAGATTTTTACAGCTGTTTCTACAATACAGTAGAATGTTTCCACATAGGTAAAATCTTTGTACACAAATACAATATGTCCTTTCATTTTAACATAATGAATTAATTGTTAAAAACTACAAAGCCAAGGCAAATGCTTAAAGCTATACATATGATTTAAAATTGCACAAGAAAAAACAATGAAATGTAATTTAAAAACAGTTAAATAACTTTAGAAATGCAGAAAGCCATTCTGATTTTTAGAACACTACTAAAACAGAACTATGGTTGAAGTACAAATTAACTTCCATTACAAAAGCAGGAATTTTACAAGGAACAGTCAGTGATGCACATCACTTACTGTATAGTATATTGAAAAGTTAATCATTAGTGACCTAGGATAATTTTGATGATTAGTGATCGAGACGGTGTGGAGTTAGAACAGTAAGAAACATATAAGGTTGATCAATTTGTCAGACCTTTTCCGAAAAACTGTGAGGGCAAATTTAATTTATCATCAGTAGCCTGGATAACTTTCACTATATGAAATGTTGAACGTATGAATTCCAGCCTGTATATGGCCTTATAAAATATTGCACCCATTTCTGATCCAAACCTGACTTGTCTCTCGAACAAGCAGCTGACAACTATAAAGAGTCAAACATGAAACACCTCCCTCAGAGAGACTACAGGTACTGTACCACCTCAGGATACATCACTAGAATTCTAAGGACAGTAAGGACTGTGCTGTATGTGTTGGAACAGTATTGGAACACCAGAGAAAACTGAAAATATGAATTTGATCTATTTTGACAGTCTGTGCAATAGTTCCAGTTCTGAAACGCATTTTAAGTTAGTAACAATGACTGCGTCTCACACGCTTAAGCATACATGGTCAGAAACACATAAACAACCGAGCAAAATACAGAGGGCGCAGGCAGTAGAGTCTGCTGTTAGTGGCTGTGCAATTGAGTGTAAAAAAGGCTGGCGCAATGCAACAAGCAAACATAGAGAAAACTTGTCTGAGCAGGGGCTCCTGCAGAGGAATGGATCCTTGTCAGAAAAAAACACTTTGAAGAGAGTGTGAAGGTTAGATGGGTTTTCTTTTATCTCATGTGGAAAAAGCAACACGCTGGGTCTTGTAATAAATCCGACACTCTGTAATCTGTTTCTGGAGCAGCGCTTCCCATGTGCTTGATTTATCACTATAATAAGAACAGGCACAGGGGGGTTGAGAAAAATATATAAATAAAAACAAGCAAGCCAGTCTTCAAGAGAGAAAACACAAACTTCCACTTTCCTCAGAAAATCATTACTTTCATTTCATTATTATATTAAAAAACCTGACAGTCTGCGTGTGTTTGATCGATGCCATACAGTGTTAATTTATTGAACTAAAATTTTAAAATAAGTTTTTATGTATTTTTAATAAAATTTGTGGGAAAAGTTTGTGGGAATTACAGTACATTAAAAAACATTTTCAAGCCCTTTAGTCACAAAAATATACAGTATATATATACACTATACAGGATGTATTTAAATATTGCATTTCTCCATCAGGTTTCTTCCTTATTCCGACCATGAAGAAAAATGCTAAAATGCTTATTATTATCTTTAATTATTTAATCCTCTGTGTATTTAACTTTTGCATTCCTACCTATATAACTTTTAAAATTGGTATAGAAAATGGTAATACAACTCCAAATTCACAGACCTTAAAAGTAAGTAAATATCTTAAGTACCTCTTTAAAGGTAATTTAAAGCATAGTAAAAAATGAAATCATAATACATATTTGAAATGTAATACATATGATTAGAGCTACTGTACAAGAAAACCTATTTTAAATATCCCATAAATTTAGGTCTGTAATGACCTTATGGTCCATTTTTTCAGTTTGCTTCATAAGTACAAAAGAAAATATAGCCCTGAGAACATTTAACACATATATTTCCAAAACATTTCACTTTGGGAATGTACAGACTGGCCTGGTAGAAGGACTGGTGGCACAAAATGGCTGCTGATTGTCACAAAGATGGGTGTTTACCTCTGTGATAGATGATGTGGATCCCCTCTTATATACAGTATAAAGTGATCTAAGATCTTTTGGGAAGAAAAAAATTAATCTAAAAGCAAGGAAGTAGTAGTAAATGTTAACTAAAAAGCATTTCAAAGTGTGCATGGAAAATCATATTTTAAGAACATCCTCAAATAACAACTAAATCCAGAAAAAAAAATGTTCTTAGAGGTTGCAGCTACTTTCTGGTAAGAATGTCCTCTGATTGATCACTCGAGCTTTCCTGCCGCACAGTGTCCAACAAGCAAGTGACATCAAAGTAATTGGACCTTGCCATGTCAGGCCGCTGTACAAAAGAACCGTGTCTCAGCAAGAACTGACAATCCCCACAGGAGAAGACCGACATCAAAAACGAAAGACTGGCACCACAAAAAAAAATGTGTTTCAGACAATTTCAGATTCACTCAAAAAGAGAGAAATCAACAGCCATGAGGAGAAAACAATGTGGAAAAGAAATGGGCAGATGACAACGCTCAGATTTCCTGAAGCAGAAAAGAACATTTAGGGCCTTGAAATGTGACAAAAAAGGGAAACATCACTGCAGCAGATTTTTGCCATAACAGCATGAGCTAAAGTGTTTTAGCCTCTTTCTTTAGCAGTTTAATATTTATGGGTTGACTCTGAACCAAGGTTCTGAATCAGACTTATTTAGTACTTATTTCTTGGGTTAAATATCTGCTCAATAATAATGAATAAATATTTAATGATAATACCTTTTTTCAAGCATGTATACAGGCAATGTAATAATTCTGACTTGGACCATTCTTGTGTGTCACTGGGAATACTGTAGTTTATCATACTCTGGGTTGTACACTTATTATAAAGCTTTCTCTTCACACACCATGGAACTCTTGGTTAAATGAATGTAATACACAGGTGAATGCCAATTAGTCAGTTAAGTAGCAAAGCCTTAGTTTTCAATCCAGCCTGATCCTTGATGAGTTTCCAAGCAGACACTATCTGCCAAAGCCAACAAAGTTTGATGACTTCTAAGATATGAATATGCCTTTTTCATTTACATAAACTGACCAAATGACTATGTGCTGGGACACTGGGACACTTTGAAACAGGATAGGATGTTGCAGAACATGCAATACTAATCAGCTGTTTACTATAAAAATGAACCAAAAAGGCTGTTTTCAATTAATTGGCAACGTTGTTAAGATGTTCACATGGTTTGGACATTGACAGGATAGTGAACAGTAGACCAGTATTAGGTATAGTATGCATGTTCTGTATTGGCATTAATCACCAATTCAGTCACAATGCTGAATTTACAAATCACCTTTTTAATTTCAGCTTTAAAATGCAGTCTTGTCTCAAAGTGTCCTGATGAGCACCGAGACTTTCCACATTCATGGCAATGGAAAACAGTGCCTGCATTATCACATATACAGTCTTTGAACTTGCAAAAACAAACCTTGAGAACTCTTATAACAGAACCCCACAACCTACTGTAATAGACCCTATCCTTAGACAGGAGTCTGATTTGGTACATGAGGCTACACTGTATAATTTTAGAAGGTCTGCTCTAACTGCCAATTCAATTAGCATCAAAAAGAAAATCTCTTATATACCTAATTTTAGTTCATTACACATATAGTATATGAGATTGTGGACTTAAACCATTCACCAATAGTATAATTAACCTATTGACACCCAGTGAGGCTATTTACAAAACCTTTTGATGTCTTCAAGTCAAAGACCCACTGTTACTTAAGTCCCTCTGAAGACTTATC